CTTACTCTGCACTTGACGGTCTTCCCTGACTTGAACTTCCGTTCAGGATGCTTCAGACGTATATCCGCATAGTGATTCGGCCAAATAACCGCATGGACACTCCCAGAGATGGACACGAATAGACCTCGGTCCGTAAGATTTACAACAGTCCCCTGTTCAATAGCCATGAGCATCTTTGGGAATGCACACTCGCCAACAGACAAACCTTGACTATTTCGCCAACTTTGACGTCATCAACTCTCAACCACTTTTGCTCTAGAATACTTTCCTTCATAGAGCATTGCAGCGTACCATCTAGGTAGTGATAACCGGTCACGCGTGCCCGATGAACCGAGCCGATCTTATAGAGACCAGATGTGGCCGAGAGGGACGGCACGTGTTCATCAGATACATCAGATATCTGCCAAAAGTATTAGTATGACGGTGATGAGTTGTGTATGTGTGCTCAGACGAACGTGTACGATGCCATTTATACCATCAGTCACAGTCAAGGTGAGTCCTCGATCAGCTTCCACATCAGTGACTTTAACCGTGCCAAGGATGGCACCAATTGGAAATTGTTGATCCAGACTAGATGATTGAGTGGCTTCATGGTCCGCTCCATCATCAGGGGATGGTTCGGAATCAAATTTGGACTTCAGATGTCGAATGTGATCCAAGGTCGACAATGCGAACTGTTTCGGCTCGGTTCCGGGAATATCCCACAGTATACGGGCTTTAATCTTTTTTCCTATTGAATAGGTGGACGGATCTTTGGAGGCATGCAGGGGGTGGATCGTTCCATTGAAAACTCCCAAAATTTGTACATTGACACCTCGAGAAGAAGCAGCTGTGACAAGTGCTTGGACAAGCGAGCCCGGATGGACTGCATTGATCGATATCAAACTCGAAAGCTACGAGGCGTGAGTCAGTAACCATCAATGCATCAAGGTCACTCAAATATTCTCACCTCACACTTATTAATCTTGTCACCAGCGATGAAAGAACACATTCGACCGTTCTCTTCCATCTGCTTAACGCTTACGACTAATGTTGTACCCACTTTTAGTCTACTCGACCTTGAGAGACGATCTGTATCATTCCCAGCATCGTCGAAGGAGAGAAACCCGGTTGTATCATGTATACCGAGATTCAGGATATAACCATGGTCCTCCACGCTAGATATTGAGACGGGAAGCGTCTAACGAGTCCCAAACTTCTCTCAATGAGGCATCGTACCGAGGAAATTCTACTCACAAAATCTTTAATGAGGTCCTTTCCGCTGATTCCTTTGTTTACTTGTTCTGGCAATAAGCTGAGTTCAACTCGCCTACTCGCTCTTTCCAGCTCGTTTCTAGGCTTTCCAAGATTGACCGTTGTCTCCGAATTATCCAAAGGAGGTAAGCTTGTCCCTTGAGGATGGACGGCTGTTACAATGGCGCGAACATATTGGCCAGGATAAAATATTTCTTCCAGAGTAGGAATAGCATGCTCAGTGTCTTCTTCTCCTTCATCATTACTGCTTTGTGAATCGCCAGATGCATTACTATCCTTATCCATTAGTCTGTCCATAGCATTGTTCAAGTCCGAAGATATCTTGTCAATCGGAATATGACCCATTAGTTGATGGGGTAATGACACAATGACCGACAGAGGCGTGATACCGACAACTTGAGCCATTATTCTTGTTTCAGGTTGCAATTTCTGCAACATAAATCGTTATATAAAGTAATGGCCCATGAAAAGAATTAGTACGCACTTTGTAAGTCAGATATTCAATTCTAGGTGCATCTGGTGCATTACGTGACTTGGATTGTACACCATCTTTGAGCTTTCCACTTCTTAGTCGCTTTCTGGGAGCGGAGGTTTGTATGTTTGAATCCTTCGAGCCCCAAAAGCAATCCTCTGTAATGAGTTTCGAATAAAACCGGGAATTTGTGACTAATTACCTTGAAAATTTGTGAATCTGCTTCTCTGATCCCTTCAGCCCTTGTCTCCTTGAGCTCCAGAGGGGTAAGTGAAGAGCCACCACCTCGCGGGAAGTCAATCTCTTCGGATAGAGCCAAACTGGATTTGGCTACACTGTGTTCTTTTCTGGAAGAGGTAACGTCATTCACAACGCCATCTTGGTAAGGCTTATGCTCTTTTTTGTCTTTCTTGGTTAGTTTGGAGTAGTCAGGTTTGACTTTTGAGGTAGTGGAGGAAACTACGACCGCCTCGCCATCATCCGTAAATTTCAGTTTCTTTGGCTTTGTACCGCTCTCTACGATAGCCTCTGAAGGCCTTTTTCTACCCAAAGTCACACTGGGCATCCTGGTCCAAAGGTGGCGAGGGCACAAGTTTTACCATACATACAATTTTTATTTGGTCAACCAGCACCTCTTTTGCACCAGATCCACTCTTTCGACCGGCTCGGCCTATATTCTAAAACGTTTTATCTACAACACTGGAAGCAAATTCCCTTAGTTTCTGGGACCCAGTTTTTATTCACGCTTCGAAGAGGTTGAAAAATGGGGCGTAAAGTCGCTTCACAAGTACATAATGCCGCGACACGCTTAATGCAAGGAAAACTACTACCAGAGCCACCTCTATGGTATAGTGCTGTAGCTCGGTATCCTCCTTTGCCCCTCCCTCCACGACAAGCAGCACGTCGAAGCAAGTTGGACTTGCCGCCAGGAAGTCGGACGACAACCGTAGAGGCAAGTATAAACGCGTAAAATTTTATATTATCTTGTGCTAATAAGTCAAAAGGAAGGTGAAGAAGCGACTAGCACAGGTGCTGAAAAGTTACGAAAAGAGACAAAACCTCGCGTGATGCCAGTTGTGTATCTGGAAGATAAAGTCCGCCAGCGATTCTTTTTGGACCACCCTTTCGAAGCGTTTAGACCGAGATCCTTAGTTGAGGAGCACGAGATACAGAAAGAGCATCCCATACAGGGTCCAGAATGGACCCGACTTAGGCAGAGAGGTCGAAACCCAAATTCCGAAGAGTAAGCACATATCACCGATAGCATCTATAACATGGCTAACTTGGATTCATTACTCATAACTCCTTCGCAGCTGTATCAAGTTTGCCGTTTCGTTACACATCCACCATTCCCTCCCTCTGTCTCAAGCATATCGGACTGCCTGCCAACAATTTGCAGCTTTGCGCTCAGAACACAGTATTTCATCTCACATTGCCTACCTCGAAGCGAAAGCATTAGGTGCCACGTTCACATCTTCGTCGTCCATCATCCGACGAGGCTTCGATCTCGAAGAAGCAGCCCTCGCCAAGTGGAAGAAGGGCGCTGATCAGAATATGAACGAGCAAGTCGCTCGTAAGAAGTGGAGACCCGTGTTTGAGAAGCAGCAAGAGGATATTGGACGATGGACTCAAGGAGAGGAATACGTGCACAAGGCGAAACAAGGAGAGATTCCGACATACAAAGCCGGGAGCCTAGACAGCTTTGTCAGTGTACTTGCCAATACACCCAAGGCTCCTCAACCGAAACAAGGTCCCGATCTACTCAACGCCAACGAACCCAGAAGTTCCGTTTCATGATAGATTATCCTTTTAGTATTCTAGTTACTCACCCGATATTTTCGTTTATCATGTCTGGTATTCTTGTTAATGGGAGAATCATCACCAGTGGAGCTTGTACTACGAGTCGACCATGACTGAGATTTCGAGTAATAAAGCATTTGGTGGATACATCAAGAAATACAAGGCTCCAGTCAGTTCATTCTACGTTAAAGTGCACTAGTCACGCGATTAATCGTACTCTCGACTGTTTCTGGCGATGATGTAGTCTTCATCATTGGGAGGACTGGAGACTCAATTTAACGTCTTCATCCCATCTACTAGTTCAGGATATGGCACAAATTTTCCGGTGTTAATCTACCTGGCAGGATTGACCTGTAACGAGGATACAGGGGCCTGGAAGGGTGGCTTTCTGCCTACGGCTGCATCGGAAGGCATCGCCCTCGTCTTTCCCGACACATCACCCAGAGGTGCCAAAATAGAGGGTGAAGATGATGACTGGGACTTTGGTACCGGAGCTGGATTCTATATAGATGCCACCGCGGATAAATGGGCCAAGCATTACAGGATGTTTAGCTTTCTCCACCGCTTGTTGAAAGTTTTCAGGTAATAATTGACCCTTTTCATAGAACTGGTCCTTGTCACCCTATCTTTCCGGGCAGCAACTGCTTCTCACCTGCGATGGGGGGTGAAGAGACTATCCTGACAAAACAGACCAGAGGTGCG